ATGTCAGAGGAATCACCAATTCTTGAAATCGTCTTTGCCACGAGAGTGCTAATCTCAAACTTCTGATGCACATTAAAGCCTTTGTCAGAGAGCTCCCTCAACTTATTATTGATATTGTCATAAACCTTTTGCACGATGAAGTCAGGAGGCTGAGTACGGTTTGAAGTTTGCTTATCATCTGGCAAGAAATACACAAGACATTTGCTTCTCACAGATTCAGCAAATAGCTCATCCTTATGGAAACTGAAGAAAATTTCCTCCGAGTCTCCAGATTTGCACTTTCCAGCATGTTTTATTTTAATATCTTTTCGGCGATAAAACCATTGCACCAAGATCTTCACAAATCCATCTTTTTTCTTAACATAAATATCCTGTTCAACAAACAATTGAAAAGATAAATTTTTATTGTTGATTGTGATATGAACAACATAAATCTTATATATAAAAGAACCTTGCATCCCTTTACCTTGATCAATGCGATATAGTTGGTTTTCTTTGACTCATACGGAGCCAAAAGCACTGTGTCCTCCTACGAAAAAGAAGAGTACAATCTAATGTAAATGTTACTACCAGAAAAATTAACAAAACATAACATAATCTTTTCATTACAAATACCGTGTTAGTTTTATCATACAGATTGATAAAAAAAAATTGCAATCCCTAAAAACTAAGTACCAAAATCTTATAACAAAACAAAACTCACCAGACTATATTGGGTGCCACGAAACTGGAATGTCTCATAGTAACATTTACGATTTTCTCCTCCACCAGTAACCTTGATACATTTGCCAACTGAATATGCACAAATCTCTCGTCTCCATTCTATATTTTCTTTCTTGTTCACCTGCTTATCTTCAGTCTCATCTTTCTTTATCCGCTTCATCTCTGTTTCTTTCGCACTAAAATTTGAAAGCAATCGAACATCATCTTTATTTTTTCTCATCAATACTTCATTCAATTGCTACGATAACATCTAATTGGTCCACAACTTTCATATGCAGACAGAATCAAAATTTGAGATTTTCAGAGATTTTAGATATCTTATTATAGATTTGTTTTTCACCCACAGTTATCGAATCATAAGGATTAATGAAAAAGTGTTAAAATCAACATGATAAATGAATTATTAGTGACATAACATTTAATGAAATGAAAGATGATTTACAAGTGAAAGAAAATACAGGTATGAAATCTAGTACCCGTTGCATATGGAGTAGGTATGATAATCATATATAACTTAGATCTCTCCTATAGTCACTCAAATGTGTACCTGATTTTTATACCAGCTGACCAGTGTTTGAATTGTTTGGCTTCGGTTAACAAATAGATAGCCTAATCTCTGGAATAATAGCTTCTATGGTGCTCTTCTGGGTGTGTTTCTTTAGTTTGATTTCAATAATCTTTTCTCTGCAGTTTTATATACAAGTTTGTATCAACAAATGAATATTACTAGGTAAAAGACAATACATATAAGGAATTATATCACACGGGAAACGTGTACTATTTTTTCACCGTTAATATAAACACCTAAAAGAAGAAAGATGAGGAGGTGAAAATAGGAAATGAAGAATAAGAAAAAATCATATTATAAAGAGTCAACAATTCCTTTTTTTCCTTTTTATTAATTAAAATTTAAATGGTTTAAATATATATGTAAGCTGTCATTTATCATTTGTGCAAATATATTGTACGTATTTGGTTTATGTGACATGTGGTTTTTAATTAATTTTTTTTTAATATGGTATGTGAAAAACCCTGACCCGAATTCTCAATCTTCGCACATGACACATGGAAAATGTTCTCACTAGAACCTAGGCATGTCAATTAGGGTTAAATCCTGCGGGCTAGCCCGACCCGGCCCAGAAAATCATCGGGCTTGGGCTTAAATATATTTGTTCATAAGAAATCGGGCTTTTTGGGCTAAACCCATTCGGGTTAAAGGGTTTTCTGGGCTTAACCCGGTCGATATCGGGCCGGCCCGAAAAGCCCTTAAACAAATATATTTTGAATATTTTGAATATTTTAGTTTAATTAGAAGATTTGATTAATGAATAAGTTTTCATATTTACTTACTAGCCTTACTATCTATGACATTTTCAATTATTTATATATGTCAAAACTGAACAAAGCTACAACTAAGTATATATAAGTATCTTGATTTTGAAGTTATCAAAGAATATTAAATTTTGACTCTATCATCTACTTTAAAGTATATTAGTTTCATATTTTATTGGGTTAAAGTGTAAACAATTTATTTGGTTTTCATTTT